ACTATCTTTACATAGATAATTCGACTACTATGAAAAAATGACATGCACAAAAAGAACGTGCAGTGTACATGAAGTATGATTGTTATTCGTTAATCATTACTCTCCCTCCATTGATCCACTTACATAATTACATTCAAGATTTATATGTAACACAATTTCTTATTACTTTCCAAACATGTTGTTCAAAAATGCATATTACGAATTTTCTAATTAATTTATTTATAATGTTTTATTCACAACGATGAAAGCATATCCTACATCTCACCTCTTCTTTCTTCTACGTACTCAATTTTCTTTCTTCTCCTAAAGACGGATAAGATATCTTTAGTCGCCATTTTAAAGTTATTTTATGTTGTTTCTTTCTAGTGATGTATGTATTTGTGTATTTCTCGTCGGTAAAACTGATTGAGTGTCAAAATTTTATTGTTCATAGTTGATGATGCTTGTACTGTTTGATTTTTTGTGAGGTTAACTTAAAAAATCAGCTATTCCAGAGCCTTAATTTTCCAGTCTCCTCCTAAATCACTGTCATGCTATGAGAAAAAAATAACGCTCGATTGGATTTCGATGTCTAGTTAAATCGATGATATTGGAAAAAAAAAAGTGAGCTTGATTGTGTGATGGAACGATTATATTCAAACACCGGATGTGCTAATAGCGGACCTCAAGAGTTGATGCGGCTGCAATATTGCGGTTGCGGGCCGAAAATAATGATGATGATGATGATGATGATGATGATGATGATGATGATGATGATGATGATGATGATGATGATAGTAATAATAGTAATAATAATAATAATAATAATAATAATAATAATAATAATAATAATAATAATAATTATAATAAACACTCAATCTGATCAGAAATATTCACACCATATTAGATCAGAGAGATTCATATCAAAAGGATATATATCGATTAAATCCGAAAGTTCGATTAGATCAGATCAGTCCGATCAGATCATTAAGATTTAGATCTGATCAATTAGATCAGGAAGTTCATATAATTAAGAAAGATCCATTTAATTATAATAAATTTATAGGAGGACTTTTAGGACTTCGAACTTTATTTTAAGACTTACTTCATTGTGATGTAATGATAGTTAGAAATCTAAGCATCAATATAAGCCCATTGTTAAGACAAAACTCTTCTGTTTAAATCATATATGAGATGTGTAAACGTAATATATAGTGCAAAACGCCACAATGTTTCTTTATACCAACAACTCCGCATCCTGTAGTATATGATTAGTCTAAACATTCATTTACACATTAAAATTATTTAAACTAATTAGAAACGTGTGGGGTGGTAATATATCACCTAAGTACTATCTCTTAGAGCATTTCCAATGCTACAATGTGCACGGTGCACATGTGGAATGAGAAATAACCACATAAATGTTAACAAATAAATTATTTCTCTCCTTATTTAAATGATTTTATACAATTTTGGTAAGTTTTCCTCTGCAATGTTAACGACAATGTCTACATCTAGGGTCTTCTTGACATTGTGGAGAAAAACTTACCAAAATTGTATAAAACCATTCAAATAAGAAGAGAGATAATTTATTTGCTAATATTATGTCTCATTTTGGTAGTCTTACTTTCTCTTTTAGATTATTCTAAAATGATATTTTGTTTCCTTTCTTGATAGAAATATGTAATCTATGTCATTTCATTTCATTTTAGTCACATTTCAATCACAACTTTTACTTTTCAATAAAGAATAGATGTACTTGTGTGTTTCTAGAATGAAAGTGTGGCGTTTGCACAACATGACCCTAGATCCTTCACTGTCTACTACTGTATCATTCAAATTGACCAGGTAATTCATGTCTTGCATGTGGTTGATGCTTATACTGATAGAGAGTTATGGTCAAAATATAAGAATTTGCACGTGTGAGTCGTGTGACGCGTGTAGTTATTTCAGTACCTTTTTTATTACTATGATACTTCCTCCGTTCTTTTTTAGTTGTAATGGTCAACATTTCACGCTTGTCAACGCACGTCTTTGACCGTAATTATATCTTAATATCTATTAGTAAAAAATATTTAAAAATTAGATTTTGAAAATTTGTAATGAGATGAATTGAACAATATTTTTAAGAAAAATAATTTTCATAAAATAATAATATAAAATGTAGTCAAAATAGAACATGTGAATAGTGTAAAATTCAACATGTTGCGATTAAAAAGAGACGGAGGATAGTATGATACTACCTAATTGATATAGACATAGTGAATCTTGCCTCACAATTTATTTTATCAATCCTCAGAAAATTATGACGTGTAAGGATAATAGCTAATGCATGATTCTGTATTGGAATGATTTATACTCATTTGGAAAATTGGAGTTGGGTTAAATATCGGTTTTACATCATCTTTACCGCCTGTTTGAATCGAGTGTCGGGAGTGTTAGTAATGAAATGTTAGTAAGTGTTGATAGTAATACTTGTTTAAGATAAAAATTAAGAGGTGTTAAGAAGTGTTAGTAAAGCTTAGGAAGTATTAATAATAACCTTCCCAAAACTTCAACTGTCCACCATTTTAACATTCCGATTTGGAGTGTTTGAGGTGTTGGACAATCACTACCCTTCTTATTTACCCTAAAAACATTTTTTTGTCAATTTAAGTTAAAACACTTTCATTATTGAGGTGTTGGACAATCATTATCATTCTCAGTTAAAGGATATTTTTGTCAATTTAAGTTAAAACACTTCCATTATTAACACTTCATTCATTTGACTCTCCCAAACAAAGTAAAATTGTCTCTAACACTTACACTTCTCTTCCATTCCAGACCCCTACTAACACCTACTAACACTTCCAAACGCTCCATCCAAACCAGCCCTTAAAATATCAATCAAGTTATAAAGAGTAGTCACATCCAGTTTAGTTTTAGTTGGAGTAGTTACTCATTTGAGTTAAATTAACTTAAGATGCTCATAAGATGGTTATTTTGAAGCATACTAATATTGAAATCGTGTAGTTGTTGTACATGCTTACTCTACCAATAGCTCATTGAACAATAGCTAGCTCTTACACCACATAAAAATAGAAATTGACCCTTAAGGGTTATGATTCGTTGATTCATCAACTCTTATAAGTGTATATAGTGTACAAGTTTGATCAAAGAAATTGACCCTTAATATGGAATATCATTCGAAGTTTTAGTGTAGTGTATAAGTCAGGTAAGCTATTGCAACCAAATTGATCATAGTAAGATGGTGACATCATGATTGCAATTAGGGCAATCACAAATCGAAAATCAAATCAAAATAAATTAAATTGCAACCAAATTAAACCAAATCACAAAAACTGAATCGAATACAAACAAACAAACTAAACCATAATGGTCTTTCAAGATCGAATCCAACCGAATAATCGAACTAATTACAATATTAAATTTTATTTGTCAATGGTTATTAATCCTAATATCACTGTTAGTCTTTCATGTTCTAGTGCTAAGGAAATTAGTTTTTAGTAGTGTTATACGTATTATAAATTTCTTATTGGATGTTAAGTTGTTGCATATGTGATTTACTTTAGTTTACAAAGTTTATTTACACTTTCATTCCTTGTAATAGAATAGCTATATTGATTTAATAATTTTTTACGTATGTATAGCTTATTACGAGTAAGAATGGACACATGTTACAATAGCACAAATATACAAAAATGAATTCTAGACAGCCAAAAAAGGTGTACTGATACACCTTATTTAAAAAATACATAAATAATTATACCTACCAGGAATAATCGAGTTGACTAGTACTAGGAATAATGGAGTTGACTAGCCCTGATTGCCCCCTATGTTTCCGCACTTGGGTGAGGTTGTCTTTTTACGTTTGAAGGGAATAACAACATTAGGAAAGTTGCAAAGCACAGCAAGAATGTTCACTCGGAAGTGGGTATGCCGAAAAGGGTTTGGATTGTAGAAAAAGGATATGAGAATGTTGGAACATAATAAAAATGTGACCAAAAGAATGAAAAGTGTGTTCTAAAACGTACTCGAAAATAACATATGAAGCTTCTAGCTTCACATCTGTCCCCAAATTCATTCGTAATTCTTTCACTCATCTATTCAATTTTATCAATTTTCCTTTCTTAATTCTCTTAAATTGGTATCACTTTATTTTAAAGTAATTGCTCACAATTAGTATTCCATCCGTCCCGTTAATATTATCTTATTTTACCTTTTTGAGAAATCTCACTAAATTTGTATGATTCCAAATTTGATAAAGTTTATGTGTGGCTCTAAATTATTCTTATTTTATTCTTAATTTATCAATTAATATCAACCACATAAACTCAATTTTCTTAATGATTATGACACTCCCTTCCATCCCAATATCGGTGGGAGGGGTAGTAGTTATTATTAACTCACTCTCTTCTCTACACAATACTTTGAAAGGCCGTTTGGAACCACTTTTTTCGCCTTATTAGTCTTATCAGCCAATTTTTTCACCAAACACGTAACTTTTGCTTTCTCGCATTGAATTGTGTAATAAGCAGAAAAAGTAAGGTTGGAGTTACTTTTCGGTTTGTATTGGCTGAAGTTACTGTAGATGACTATTTTAGCTATTTTTACATTCTCCCTCGGTCCCGAAAAAAGTTGGCCAAATTTCCTTTTTTAGATGTTCCAAAAAGATTTGTCATTTCCATTTAAAGTAAGGAATATGTGGCTGAAGTAATTCTTTCTCCTTTGCACAAATTTCAACCACACAGTTCTTACTTTATTAATCCACGTGAAAGTCAACTTTGGTCAACCTTTTCGGGACAAAGGAGTATAATTTTTTCTTTATTTTATTAATAGAATATATTTTAAAAATAATTTTTTCTTAAATCAACAAAATCAGTCAATGCTACCACTTCAACCAGAACTTCATAAATTTCAGAAGAATCAGCCAAATCAGCCAATTTTCGTACTACCAAGTACCAAACGGGCTCTGAGTTTTGACCATATAGATTTTACATTTTCTTGTAATAATTGCCAGTCAAACATGTTAAATTCCAGCGGACAGTGGAAGTACTATTTTAGCATCAACCTCAGACACTTAAAAAACATGAACGTAAATGGTAATAAACATTTGAATTCCAATGCACACAAAATATTTAAGAGCTTTTATTAAGGTCAATAAATCCGAGATTGAGGTATTACTACCATGATTATCATTACAAGTTACTCCTCAACAATGTAAACTGTATACACATATGGTATATATCTTGATGAAGCTTATTTGGATTTATTCCCCGTACCGCATGAGACCGGTCTCCATTCCTTGATGGTCGGGAAACCGCTGTTCTTTGAGGGTGTCTGGAAGCTGGGTTGCGGCTTTGAGAACTGTGTGGCAGCTGCCTGGGCACCCGCAATTAAACCGCTGTTCTTTGAGGGTGTCTGGAAGCTGGGTTGCGGCTTTGAGAACTGTGTGGCAGCTGCCCGGGCACCCGCAATTGCTGAAACAAGACTTTCAGGCATGTTTGGTTTTTGATCAGATGAGCTGCTGTTAAAGGAAGGAGGGGCAAGTGATCCTGGCTTCAATGAGGACGGGTTCCGCAGAATCGGGAGACGGAATTCTACTGGTAGCGGAGGTGTGACTGGAGTTAGACCTCTTACCGCGCCCTCATACACCTGCCAATTTTGAAATTTCAAGAAAATATAGGTCAAACATGTACAATCTTTATTTTTTCTGGAAAATTTAGTTTTCTAGAGCTATTTATTGTCAATTTCGATCTATTACTTTCAAATATCAAGTATTTAACCTCAAAGTCACCTGAGAGTTACATTCACAAGAAAATACTGGTTCAAAATGACAATTTGACATGGTGGGGCTGTTGAATACAAAGTTCAAAATTCTTCTATTTCAAAAGAAATGGGATTTCCGCAAAATATTACTAAAATTAAACTTAAAGCAAAGAAAACTATATGGTAACTCCTAGCACTTGTCAAATATGTAGTATTTAATTTGGCATTAAAGAGTTCATCTTTTTGTTGCTGACTTTAATTTCTGTAGTTTTCTCATTATTGCTAAAGGAAATACTAACAGCCTGATTTTCTTTCAATTCATTGAATGTTTTTTGGCATTTTCATATTAACTTAATGGCAGTGAATTATCTCAAACTTGCAAACAATTCACTGGACCCAAATTACAATAGTGCCTTATAATCAATTTGTACTTTTGGAGACCAAATTCTCAATGTTTTGAAAGCCATGAGTCTATATTTTAAAAAACCATGACTAATTTTATGAACCCCACCCCCTATAGTTGTTATACATGGATACTGACTGGCTCACTCCAGAACTTTTGGTTCCCGGGTCTAGGCAAATCATAACCAGACCTGTTCAGAACCAGTTCATTTCCACCGGCAGTTTTAGGCAATTCAGATTTTTTCCCATTTTTTAGAATCCCATGCTCCAAAATTGCTATTTAGGGCTAGTTGGGCCGATTATTGTTGTGGCAATCCAGAAAGCGAAACAAATCAAACGGAACCAGTGGTTCCTGTACAATTGGTTTGGATCCCGTTCACCATTTCAGGTTCTGGTTAGAACCAGTTCCGGTTCTGGTTATGTTCTGAACCGTGTCTACCCCCAATAGAGAATTGAGGGACAAACATGGTTGGGAAACAAAATAAGAATAAACCCGAAAATTAAAGAAAAAAATTACAAAGCATCAAACAGGTTGTGCATTTTACTCCATAGTCCATACCTTCCTTTCCAAGTTATAAACGCCTCGACCCCCCCTCATCTCAAATGGAATGATAAGTTTCTGCAATAATCATCAAAACAATATCTTAAATTAGATAACATAACCAAACAGAGCATATCATTGCGTGTTTGTTAGTAATGAAATGCAATTCAAACCTGTGGTTTCTCACAGAGCCAGCAAAAGTCCGTCAGTCCTTCCAATCTCACCTGTTGATAGAAATTGTGATATGAAATTGCACAAGTATACAAAGAATTGCAAAAGTGGGCCATAATTTATTCTATGAAAAAAATATTAAAACGAGATGAAGTATTAGAAAAAAGTGTTTTATACTCCTTCTGGAAGTTCTTCCCAGTTCCCGAGCTCTTCTCGGGTTACACACCCGACCACTTCAACACACCCTGCACAATGATCAAAGTTAATGCATGTATGCAAGGTATACAGGCTTGTTTGACCGGGAGCTTTGTAGGGGAGAGTGGGAGATGAGGGGAGAATTGGATTTTCCTTACTAATCTGTATCTACTTGTTAGTCTAAGATAATAATAAATAATGTACTAAAAAATTAATTATTATTATGATATGGTATGATATGTTTAGGTCAGTTGAGCATTTCTGTACAGCTTTTCATCTTCACAGAAAAATAAAAAGACAAATATCACCTCACGCCTTCGGGATCCCCTAACCAAACAAGGGCTAAAGGAAAATATACTTTATAGATAAGCCAGACCATAAAATGCTTATAAACTCAAGGACAATATGGATCCAAAATCCAAGTACAAATATTTCATGGTAGTTTTTAAGACACTTGGTTTTAAAAGGCGCGAGGTAGCGGCCTGCACCTCACAGAGTCACAGAACTTAACCATATAACTTTGGTAAGCTATATTTATACTTCTTCTACACGAAGCCCACTTCCCCAAAAAATGAGTAAATAAAAAATATACCTTAAGTCATTATTATAGCTTAAGTCTTATGAAACACCAAAGTTAGTAACACGATCTTATATTAATAGTAAACAATTAAACAATCTGCCTAGTGAACTTTAGTCATATTCGAGGAGTAATATAGTAATACTCAAGTTTCTTAAATAATATAACAAACTGATCATCAATTATTAATAGTAAAAAATTTAAACAATTGCAAACCAATAGTCATATATAACAATCTGCCTATTCAAGCTCACTTTAATAGTACTTTAAACAATTGCAAACCAATAGTCATATATAACAATCTGCCTATTCAAGCTCACTTTAATAGTACTTTAAACAATCAGATAGTAAAATCTGACATTTAACAATCTTCCTGTTCAAGCTCATTTTATAGTAAACTTTTTTAACAATCTGCCTAACGGTTACTCATATATGGACTATGGAGTACGGAGTATAAAACAAATAATGGTAAACTAGCATATATTTGATTAATGAGTATATTGTCTAGTATGTTGATAAATATTGCTGGAGGAAAACATAACCAGAACCAAACATTAGAATGCAAAATTCAAGTACTCACATTACCTTGCTAAAACCCATGAACCAAATTGCCCCTAAAAGAAGTCCTTTTTAACTTTCTGTCACTCTAATTGAATATGTTTGAGATGAATTAACATATACGTAGTAATAGATTTAACACATTCCCCATGGGACATTTTTAAAACATATTATAGTCAATAAGTCACATCTAAATACAGAAAGCATCATTACAAAACTCAATGTAAATAAATAAACACAATTGAGTCAAGAGTTCTTAATTATAGCAAAGAATTGGGTACCTAGAAGTCTTGAGACAGGATAATGTTCTGGAAACTGGAGATCAGTAATGCCATTAACCGCATATATCTCCCTATAAAAGTCTTCCATTGCTTTTATAGTCTCTGGGTCTGGTACCTTCCCAGCAGCATGGATCCAAAGTCGCCCTTCATCAATTAAAAAAAACACAAATTAATTCATAAAAAAATTAATTCAATGCAGTGAGGCAAGAAAAGAATGACTGATTCATTGCTTTTGCTAGTAAGCGGCAGGAACCATGTAAGTTGATAAATGCATTTGAAAACTATAGTTCCAGAAGACATGGTAAAAAGAAACTATTCCCTATCTTTTTGGAGCGATATAAACGTATTCTGTGTTAATATGGTTAAGTTAAAAATAATAGGCTAGTAAGAGTAGTAGCTAGCATTAATGGTAAAAATTACTATCACCTTGATAATTAATATGGTTCTACCTGTGCAATTAACACTGAAAATAAAGTTGTATACTACTTGTCACCAATGACTAATCCAAGTTGAATTTTATATAAAAGTGAAATCTGCAATGTAGAGATTCTTTAAACCTCAGAAAAAAAGAAATAAATGGGTTGTTTTTTACACAAGATTTGCAGCAATGCATTGGGTAAATAGCCCAGCTTTTCTGATTGAATTGATTTCAGATCTAAAAAAGCCATTTAGACACCAGCACGAGCAGCAGCACACAAAAATAAAACCCAAAAACAGCATGAATTGAACTGCACATAAAACCTGCCACTGCAAAATACACGGATAGATTCCCATCTTTTTTTACCTAAAAATGAATTAGTTCAAAAAAGATTCCACTTTTCGTCTCGGGAAACCACAGCAAACAAATTTCGATACATTAGCCAGTCCAAGCCTTCCGTACCCAGTTGACAATTTCTACTTTGGGTATAGCAATTCATTATAGACTTTATAAATGAAAAATTAATAATGGCTAATGAAAACTCAAAGGAAAGTTAAAACATGAACTAGGGATACTTTTAAAGCCGTCAGATTAGGGCGTCTTTAACTGGTATACTTGAAAAAAAAGAACAATCTTTAGGGTAGATAGATCATTTGGATAAAGCAAATCGGGGAGATGGAGAGGAACCTGTAATGGGGGAAGGCCAGGACCTTCCTTCGATACGTTTGATGCCCTGAATCAGCAAAGAAGCCCATGGCTGATGCATAGTCAGACATGGGTTTGTGTAGTTCCCGCGTGACATGACTGTCCTTGATCTTTGGCGATTGCACCAAAAACTCTGCAGAATTGGATTTCCTCTCTGAGGAAAGACAATCTGCAGGCTTGAGCATATATATATATATATATATATTACTCCGTAATCCCTATATACTCAGATACTCCTTGCTCCTCAAGACTTTGCCGATGTTTCCTAATTGGAATTGGGCTGCTTTCTTCGAGAAAAACAAAGTTATAATTTACTCCGTATTGTATTATGAATCGTATATTGTACTACCAAGTGGTTTTGACCTTATCTCAGTTTCCGAAACACAAGTTTTTATAAACTGATTTTTATCCAAAAAATTGTACTCATTCCATTCTCTAATTATTGTTCCCTCTTCAGATTTTTAAAATGAAATGGAAATAGTAGAGGTAATACAAAGGGAAAAAAGAGAAAATAATGAAGTCGCAGGAAAAAATAATTGCTTCATTTTTTCATTTTTTTATGTCTCTCGATTATTGTCGCATATCATATTTGATAACACTAGTATTGTATCCGTGCGATGCATGGGACAAATGTGTATAAGTTTTTTTGTTTATAATAACGTAAGAAACATATTGGAATACTTTTTAGAATGTTTTTATTCAACTAACAATTAAACGCATGTATGATTTATATAATAAAATACAAAAAAAAGTTGTTTCATTGAATGAATTTGTAAAACAAACACTCCGCAACATAGAAAGAATTAAACATTCTCAAAAATAAATAAAAGTCATTAAACATTCTGAAAAACTTCTGGATATACAACATTTAATGTGGACGAACTCGAGATACCATCGTCGATGCAAATCAATATCTTTAACCCTTCACGTTTGGTAACTCGTGACACGGCCACATACAGTTGGCCATGAGAAAACACCGGGTTTTTTTAAGAATAACCCAACATGAGAAAGCGATTGACCTTGACTTTTGCTGATCGTCATTGCATATGACACCATTATAGGGAGTTGCCTTCGCTGGAACTTAAAAGGTATCCTCACGTCTGAAGGAGTTAAATTCAATCTGGGGATCAACACTTTTTCCCCAACAGTATGCCCTGAAAGTATTACAGCTTCCAGAACATGATTTTCAAGCCTTGTAATAATTAGTCGCGTCCCATTGCAAAGTCCCATAGAATGGTCTATATTGCGCACCAGCATAACTGGAGTCCCAACCCTTAACGTCAACTCGTGATTCGGAACACCAGAACATTTAACTGATTTAAAGCTATTCAAAAACTCAGGCGTATGTACATCAGCTAAAACATCGACATTAGTGTCTGACTGGCAAGCACTGTCAGAACTAAAGTATGTTTTTGACTCTTGCGTGTCCAATGACATCATATACTGATTGATATAGTCAACTACATCTAAAGTTTTGGAGCTAATATGACTCGTTTCTCTAAGTACGCTGGATCATCATCAATATCAGGAAAGGTAGGGTATGTACTTCGAACTATGGATGCTATTGGATCACTTTCATATCCAAGCAAAATATCATCCGGAATTTCAAATGTTGCAAAACTATTCGATGAATCTCCGATTGCACCATCGCCAATATTTGCAATCCATTCAACAAATTTTCTAATCTCTTCAAAATTACCTCCGGTATCGGCACTTTGCAGCCTCATATTTTTGTTAGCCGCAAAATCGTACAAAACCTTCATAGATAAGAAGCATTAATAGTAGCACGAACGATATCATTTCGAGAACCTTTGGGAATCACCGGTAATATATGACGAAAATCACTTCCAAAAACAATAATTTTTCCTCCAAAAGACGAACTCAAACTTGTAGGATTGGGGAATTGCAATATATCACGTATAGTCCTATCAAGTGCTTCAAAGCACTGTTTATGGACCATCGGAGCTTCATCCCATATGATAAGTTTTCACTTAACAATGAGTCCAGCTAAGTGACTATAAGTCGAATCTTCATTTATATTTATGGGTATTGCAAACCTTGAGTGAGCAGTTCTTCCACTAGGCAACAAAAGAGAAGCTATTCCACTTGATGCTACATTAAGCACAATTTCTCCTTTGCAACGTAGAGCTACTGATAGCGTTTTCCAAACAAAAGTTTTCCCAGTACCACCGTACCCATATACAAAGAAAACACCTCCATTGTTAGAATGAACAACACTAATAACAACGTCGTGAATCATGTGTTGTTCCACTGTCAAGTTGCATATAAGAGTATCATGAAGTGCTTTCATTTCACTTTTGTTTTACTGCAACTCTTCAAATATCAACCTATTGACTGTTCTCGGTGTTACATCACCATGTGGAAGCGACATAGGATGATAGTCCTTCAAACTTCTCCCATAACTTCGCAACAACCGCTATCTCCACGAGTGCCAAGTTTTTAATCCCGTCTTCTGACAGTGTCAAATAAATCTACAAACATATTCAAATTTTATTATTTATTATGTATATCATTAGAGCTAAAATATAGTTGACACATAATGTATTATCGAATTAGTTACTACAATAAAAGATGGAATTAAAATATGTAATACCTTGATACTGCATCAAGCGGCGTTGTCTATGAAGAATGCCATCTGAAAAGAATGTCCAGCATTTGTCCCATATATGTTCTGGACGCGATGCACAATTGGATGTCAAAATTGTAACGAATAGGTATCTGAGCAAATGAGCAGATACAGTGTAACTCGACTCATCAATTGCATCAATATACTCCCTATCATCATCTAGTAAACCTCGAGCTTAACACGCATCTCGATAGGTCAAGTATTGTGCGCCATCCAATATTTTCATATCTTCATGAAATGTTGCTCTATGAACTACATTCATAAGGCATCACATGTAGTATATCTCTCCACTGCTAGGTGGCACATGATTTATTCTACCGATGGAAAATCCTTTTTTTCCTTTCCTTCCACTCCTTAGTTGATGGGTGACATACAAACCTTTGAGGAAACTCAACATAAGTCAAAGTCTTTGCTTCAGGATATTTTTGGTTCGCTTTAAACCAAGCCAAAAATATGCTCTCTTTCACTGTTTCTCGATCGACTACCTTTGATAGCAAGGAATCGTCTGAAAAATATACATTCTGCTCACCGGGTAAATGCAAACTTAACCGCTCAACAAGAGGATTTCTATATTGAATCTCAAAACCAAGAATTCTCCATCCTGCCCCATAGGGGGGTCACATATCTACAATCAGAGTACATTTTTATTTCATCCACAGGTTGAGTGGATTCATCGGCATTTGGACTTTGATAAAATGCTGCACTGACACGATTATTTCTCTTGTTGACATATTTAAATAAGTACTTTATAGAGCGTGACTGGTTGCACCATTCTGCGTCCATATGAGCACCGTATTTAAGCAACAAATAACGATCATGCAACACAACGAATTGATTGGTCAACTACACTCCTCCTTTTTTAATTGTTCTTCCATCATCTCTATGTCTATAGATGGGATAACCTTCATCATAATGGTTGGATCGTGCTTCCGAATAATAATAATAATAATACTGCCTTACGCTGCCATATTCTCCTATATTTCGTAGATTTAGCTCTCGTAGTTGGATTAAACTCCATCATTCGGTTCTCTCGTTGAGAGAAGAATTTACGAGAAATAATGGTTGGATCGAATAGTCACAACCGTGTTGGTAGCAACCAAGGCGGAGATCGCTATAATCAAGTTGTAATCGAGGACGAAGGCTCAAGGTCACGGCGGAGCGATTTCCGGAGGCGCAACAATAATATCGCTATCGAAGGCGATTTGGGAAACCAATTGCAAGGCGTAGGGGGTTCTAGGCGCACGGCGGCGCGGTCATCGCAGTTCCAGATGCCGGGCACCGGACACGACATCCCCAACGTAGATCCAACACAGCCTTAGCAAGTTTGGCAACTTTCCAGAGGGCGGTGGAGACTTTGACTACTACTTTTCAATGTATCATTCCAGATCTGAACGGGAGACCTCCTTCTCCTTGCCGGGCTCCATCCATGGTTCAGCGAGAGGGGGAGATCTCTCCTCAGCGACATAGGAATTCTCCACCGGCCAGGTCTCAACGCTCCCACTATTCCAGGATGACCCCAAGGGTTCCTGTGGTGAATCAGATAAGCGAACAAAGAGTTTCTGTTCATGAGAGGTTCTCCTCTAGGGCAGAACATAGTGAGGAGGCATCTTCAGCCGCCGTTTCATCCCAACGCCGCAGTGCGCGTGGGGAAGATCTCTGAGACGAGATCAACACGAATAGGCAGGCCCGAAGAGATCGCCGATCTCCACTGCACCCAGACTGGTCACCACAATGATGACCTCGGGAGGAGACTAGACGAGCTCAGAAGAGAGATGGATGGCAGAACCGATCTCGATCATGGCGTAAGAATTCCCGAGCCTTTCACTCGCCAGATTATGGAGGCACCGTTACCACAGGGGTACAAGCCATGCAATATTGAGGCCTACCGAGGGAAAACTGACCCCCAGCATCACGTCTCCATGTACGTTGCTTACATGGTTATGATGGGGTATGAAGATGCTATCAAATGTAGAGGATTCTCGGTGACCCTGGACGGGCTAGCTCGGGAGTGGTACCATTCCTTGCCAGATGGAAGAATAATGAACTTTCGGGAACTCGCACATGCATTCGTAGCACGCTTTGCCACTTCCAAGGATTCCAAAAAGAATGTCTCTCACCTCCTAGGAATCAAATAGGGCCCCCAAGAAAGCCTGTTTGATTTCCTAGTCTCTTTTGTTTGTATGTTGTTCTATTTATTAGCATAGATGTGATTTAACGTGTAGTACTGTAACTATTTTGACAGTAATGACTTCAAGATGGTAGTAAATAGAGTTAATACTAGAATTAGTCCCAGAAGTATTCTGTCAATACCTAATTAGTCCTACACTATTAATTAGGTTAGTTTTGGTCGACGACTTTCAATTCTTTACCAAGTTTAAATGTGATTAAAATTTATTTAATAAATATTTTTTCCCCTTTAATTCTAATTCCCACCCAATCACCTACCCCTGCCCCACTGATGGCTCCAACCCTACTTGTCGGCGATCGTCGCTGAAACCGGCGCGGTTGGAAAGTGTCACTAGGATATTTATTTTCCGGAAATCGCCGACCAAAAGCATCATGAGTGAAAATTATTTCACTAGGATTTTTTAATTTATTTTTTATTTTTCAATGGAAAAGTTTTCCTACTATTGTGGTGACATGTTTTTAGGAAATAATTAATTAGACAATTCCACCTTAATTGGTAAAAAATGTTATTTTATCTATTAATAAAATAAA